CAAAGATTTTGCCTTTGTCAATAACAAATCTTTGACATTATTCTTCAATCCATATCAAATTTGATTGATAAAGGCTTTTTCATTCTATTCCATGTCATAAATAAGGTTTTAAAATTCAAAAGCATATATGGTAGTTGACTATGATTCTTGTCATAAAGATAAGAGCTTGGTCTCTACTACTCTTTCTTAATCACTTTTTTTGAATGTAGCCATAAACACTTTTAGGAATGAATTCAAATCATAAAGGAGTCGAAAATTTTTGTCTATTAAAGATAGAAATCAAAAGAGATCACTTCTTAATAGAAGTGCACCTATGAATCTGACTTGATTAAATCCATCAAGATATTGGAAGAGATGCAATGTTTAATAGAGCTTGACTTATTACAAAAATCCTTAAAATTTTGATTTTGTTCCATCAAACTTCTTAGGCATACTAATCCTTGTTCTTGTCATATTTTTGGAAACAAAACTTCATGGATTTGGTTGTAAGGTTGATCTACTTATTTCCTTCAATTACACATCTTTTTGACATAGACTTTTTTCTTCCATAGATATAGGAATAGTACTTTCATGATTTATGTTCAAAATATGTGAGATTTCTACTCTTGGAGTATTAATAAGTTCATGAAGATTTGCAATAGTTGCAAATCTATTTTGACTTCTATTAAGAATAGCATCCATTATCTTTCCTTCCATAAACAACTCAAACAAATTCAAAAGATTAAATTAGAAGAAGGTAATCCATAACCTCTAATATTAAACAAAAATTTCTATAAAGAGGGATAATTTACTCTCTTTAAGGAAAAAATCAGTGTTAGAAAACAAGATTATTTGTTTAAAGAGAAAACAACAATTATAAAGCTTCTAGGAAGCTTCTTTAAAAAACATTATGAAATAAATCTACTTTTACTTACTTCTATTTAATCATATAGATAAATATCATAATAAATAAGTATGTCCATGACATGTAGTAACTATCTTCTATAAAATTATATTTAATCTTTAATACTTGAAAATATTTTTTCTTTGAACCTCCAAAATATCATAAAATGGACTTCACATGATTTATTTACCTTTAGAGCAATAGCCAATTCGAATAATTGAACCATCTTCTTTTCTAAAATATAATTCAATTCCAATTCTTTTACATAATATCTTAGTTTTTGTTTAAATCATTCTCTTTGAATTAATAAATCAAACTTTTCTACAACCACTTGTAAAATTATATTTGCTATACCATCTTTACAATCTTTAACCTATTGCTATTGCATAAATAAAGAAAATACTTTAAACAAACTTATAGAGTTAGGATCAAAATACATACCTTGCCCTCTAGTAGTACCTCTACTTGTAGCTTCACTAAAAAACCACTTAAACCTCAAATTGAAGCACCATCTATGGCTCCAACTTCAAAAAAATTGCCTTCTTTTTCTATAATTCAAAGAAGCAAAGAAAAAGAAAAACCTTCTATTCTAAGTTTTTGTACATTGAATTCACAAAATATGTTGTATATTTTAACTTGGAAATGCACTAGGCATCTTGCTATGGAAGATAAATTGCCAAAAACCACCAACCTAGTTTTAACATCATATAATGGAAGATTTATTGTGATGTGTGCAAAGACAATGTCTAATTTGGTGGTGAATCATGTGATGGTGAATCATGAAGGCATTGATGGTGAATCATGTGGAAGCATACACCAATAGAAAATTGAGTGAGAGTTTTGTATTGTTAATGGGTGGTTTGTGGATGTTGGGTTTGTGGACAAGTTTGGAATGGGCACCTCCTTGGATGCTTATTGTATTTCATTCTAAGTCAAAGAATTAGTCTCATGACTTTGGCACTGGTGAGAGTCACAGTCAAGTGAGGTGGTGATGGTCCTGGAAACTGGAGAGTTTGAAGGGCATTTTTTTCTATCTGCAGGTGTCACTCTTTGGCTTCTGTTCTTGTCGGAGAAGATTGCAACAATGACAAGGACAGACCTGAAAGACAAGAAAAAGGGTATGTAGTCAATTTTGTCGCTTGCGAGGATCCGGTGCCGAGACTCACACCCGGGTCGCTCGAGCGAGAGCCAAGCATCCTAACCATCTAAACTACAATGGATGCAGACAACTTCTCAATCCGCCGCCGCCGCCAATGTGCCGCACGTTTGCATCGCGACACTACTCTTACCCACCAACCGTGCCCTCCAAACGACTAACCATGCCCTTCCAAGCTTCATGTTTGCAAGAGACTACCTGGCGGATCACAAAAATCCGCGCTCTTGTGTTGCCTTGATGTCCAAATGCTGCTTAGCGGTTTTGCACAACACCCTCCCCAAACTGGCCGCAGCCTTTCACTTTTCTAAGTGAGCACCTTCTTTGGAGAAACTGTGACCCATCCACCTCGCCTTGCAATCTCACCTATGCATGCGTGTTCAACGCCAACTTGCTACTATCATGGCGAAACCACGGCTGGTCACCATCCGCTTCCACTCTCCGCTTACTTTGGAGCAACTCGTTGCACCCTCGCCCTCCCTCAAACAGTCCATTCAATGCCGGAAGATTCCCTCAGCGACTTCGCGTGGACCTTGCGAGCACTGATATGAGGATCCATGCATGCGGCCATTAAATCTTGTGACTCATAAAAAATTTCGAAGGGGATCACGTGCTACAACGTGGTTCATTATCATGCTGTTGCTTGGCTCTCCCCTCACAAAGACTTTTAGTATCACAACCCCTACGTCCATCTCCTACTCTCCCTAAACGTCCTGGTGTAACCCACCAAGCGAACACGCAGCCTGACGCCCATGCGTATTCAAGTGCATTGACATTGCGCGATCACTGTGCGTTCATGCTCTGCACTCTGCTACCTGGCTGACTTGCACGCCAACATTTCCCTGGAGTGCCTGGCACTGCAATCCGCCAAAACCTCACATGACCTCGTTGGCACTTGTGTTTTCAATGGCAGGAGTCGATTTAATTTTTTATTACAAGAATATAAGTGAACACAAATACTTCAAAATATCAAATAACAAATCCATACATGAATTTTATATCTATATATATATATATATATATATCTATATCTAAGATTAAACATCTTTTAAAAACAATAGAAGACATTCGATGTTTTTGAAATTTTTTTAAGTTCTAATATTTTTTTGTCAAGAAATTCTCTTAAATAATTATTTTACTTATACATTTAACTTATAAAGACAAATTAAACTTAAAGATGTAGAATTATTTTTTTAAGTTTAAAAAATATTTGATAAATTCTTATTGTATATTATTTAGATTTTTTTAAGCTATTTATTGTAGAAATAGATTTAGTAAGTATTGCATGACATACAACATTATCACAAATAGGTATAGATAATAGACTTTATGTTCTTCTTTTTTATTTGAATTTTTTTGAGCAATTAAGATTAATTAGAAATTTACAACAAATAATTTTTGTAGTTGTGAATTCACTTCAACATTGGTTTTATTATCTATAAGGTATTTTAAATTTAGTTATTTGTAGAAACCATTAATAAATGCAAAGTCATGTTATTAGAATTTGACATATTATTATAAAAATAAATCTATGAACTATTTAGAATTGTTTTTAATTATGTGATACATTTAAAGAAATAAAGCAAAAAGAAGAATTGCACAATGCTTTAATATTATATTGTTTATCCATAGTTTTAATTTAATTTAGTAGTTACATATTTTATAAATAGAAAATATATAAAAAAAATATAATAGAACTTTGTATGTATGTTGTTATTAAGTTTCAAAAGTTAAAAAATATTAATGTTTGATTAGTTTCTCATTAAGCTTAAAAATCTAAAGAATTTTGTTTATGAATACTTGAGACAAAGATACAAAGATATTATTGTATATTGCAAAGAAGTACTGAATCTCAATGAACATAGATATTCCAATTATGCAACATACTAAAATGCTATTTTTAGGACATTGTTTCAGTAGGAACAACAAAAGCCAAGTTTCAAGGGCTACAAGAGTGGATACAAAGGATAGATAGACACTTAAGATTGACTTTGATGGTCTACGTTTGTCAAGTTTATCTGCCCATGGATCAATTTGATATTGCACCCATCAATCAAGCTTCCCTCTTTGTTGATGCTCGCTTTTGTTGTTTCAATTTTCTCTTTTTATTAGACATTTGTGGCGTCAGATGTTTTACTAGGTCTAGTTTTGTGGACAGAGTTGTAAGGGTTGTAGTGTGTGAATGTATTTAGTGGTGCTCTGTACTGAACTGGGCTGGTGAGATAAAGCAATTCTTCCCAATAGGTGACTGCTTAGAGGTGGCCATGACGTATTGGATATGTGAATGTTGAAAAGCTTGGCGAACTGATATTCTTGGCAGCAGATTAAGTGAATTGAGAGATTGACCTGTTGGAACGACAATACGGAGCGTCTTGAAGTTGAACAAGTCTTGAATTTCCGTAAGCTTGCGAAGTGAAGATTCCACAGTTTCTGGAAATGATTGCTTGTACACTTATCCTCTCACGCCATGGACTAGGAAATTGGACAAATTAGAATGCCAGAGCCAGGAAGATCATCTCATGCAAATATGCTTATCAGTGTGGAAGAAACAGGTCGTTCAGTCAATGCAAACCACACGTTGGCATAGGCTGAAACACGGCAGTTCTCATGATAGGTCGGCGAGATTCTGATTTGGAAATAATCCACGACATGAAACAAGTCAATTGCATCACAGCAGTTCTTATTCGTGGTCTTTACTGAGGTTGATGGAAAGTCCAATGACAATGGAGGAACATTTAAAACTCGAAATGTTAGCTCTAGAAATGTTGCAGATGGAGGTGTTCAAAGGTAGACTGGATGAAACCCAACATCATGAAGATGGACGAGGAGGTCTAACATTTACAAGCTGCTTAACTGAAACCACATAAAGTTTCAGAATCCACAGCCGTACAAGGTGTTCAAAATATTCTGTTGGAGCCTAAACAGAGAAGCCAGAGGAAAGCTCAAGACGGGACACATATGACATGATGTCCAACATGCAAGAAAGTTGGAAACAATTGTGAAGTTTATTCAAATAATGAAACAGTACAAGAACGAGCATGACCATTCCTTTTCGGACGCGAAGGCACATGCGAATAAAAAAGAGTCGTGAAGCTGTTTTTGCAAACTTGATAAACTTCCACGAGACTGTTGCTACTTTCAAAACCTACATAATGTCACAATATGCACAGAAGAATGAAGTTTTCTTTCTCCAGCTTTGAATAGAGTTCCGCGTTTTCAAATTACAGAACGAAACCTGGGAGCCAAACGGCCTCACAGATTCGAGGAATTGACCTTGTCACGAGGCTATGCGCAGCCTTCAGAGGACGATTGTTCGTTATCGATGCATCATGCTCCAAAACCCCGCCAACAAAAGCTTGAAACATACTAAATCGTGCGGACACTTCGACGACGGTCAAGTCTCGGAGAGTTCCCCTTCGAGTCGTCATCCAAGGGCTCAATGCCTACTTCTGCTTCGTCAAGGTCTTGATCTCTTGCATCCAACTCAACATCACAGAGCGCGAGCAGCCTGTCGGCCAAAGGAGGGATACCTGGATTCCTACCATCATTGTAAAGATGAGCATTTTCGGCAATTTGTTGAACATCCTTACGAAAATCTTCCCGGCTCTTATACTTGAGCTTCCGAACTCTTTCCCGGATTGTTGACAGATCCATTGGGCGCTTCACATAATGGAGGTAATCAGGGGCCTCTTTCTTAGGCACTGGCTTCAGAAACAAATAAGAGCAATCCGCATTCTTCAGTTTCTCAACAACTCCTTCTAAAATATTGCACAGCTCAACCTGACAGCGCCCCCCACCACAAGTGGGAAGAAAACAAGCAGTGAGCACGTATGTAAATCAAAGAAAATAAACAAAATTCCAGAAGTTGCGTAAGTCTCACTTTTGCGACCAAAAGCGCTCATTACACAGGAATAATAGTGCACATTTTGTCAACAAAAGTTCAGACGAAAGCAGGCAAATGAACAATTTGATACAAACATGATCCTTAAGAAAAAACACTGTAAACAGCAAAGCTATTTCAGTGAGTAGCGAAGCTCACCTCGCCACCTTTCTTACGCAGTCGCTTCGGAGCATTCCCGCAGTCTGGACTCGGATGGTAAGAAGGGGGCACTTCAGGTCGTCTCTTGATCCCTTTCCCACGATCTCTCTTCGAGAGACTGGATAAAGAAACAGACGCAACCCTTGTGTGCTCCTTCATATGTTTAAACTTCAGACTCTTCTCCCTGATCTTCTCTCGATCGCGTTGCTGTTGTCGCATTTCTTCTCCCACCTGTCTCTCTCTTTCTTCCTGTGCCTTACGGGCTTCTAGCTCAGCAGCTTCGCGTAACTTCGCTTCCCGCTCTCGTTGTCGTTTTTCCTTTTCCTTCATATGCTGACTATGACGGTCTCGATCATTTTTTTCTTTCTCTTTCCGCTGTCTCTCTTCTAGCTCTACTCTCTCCCTCGCTTCTTTTTGCTCGAGTTCCTGTTGTTCTCTCTTCAATTCCTCTCGAAGTGCACGTTGATATTCTTCAGCCTCCTGCTTTTCTCTCTCCATGCGTTCCGCTTGCTCTCTCTCCCTTTCCCTTCTCTTCATCAACTCGGGATCGACTCTCCCACGTAAAATCTTCTTCTTCTTGAATGGCTTGAACTTGACCTCAGCCTCCATACCTCTGTTAGTTTCTGATCCGTTTGTGTGAACTATAGTGCCTCGTCTTTTGGACTCCCTCACACCTCTTTCCTCTCTTCCCCTCTCTCTCTCGTCCTTCACCCGCTCTCTCACTTCCTTCTCTCTTTCATCTTTCTCCATTTCCTCATCTATGGCTTTCTGATAATCTCCTCGCTCCATCCTCCCCTCATACTCTTCACGCTCTTTTCTCTCTGACTCCCGTGTCGTTTCGCTTTCTTTTCTCGTCTTTACGTCCTGATCCAGTTTCAATCGCTTCAAACCATGCTCTTTCCTTCTCTGGTTAGACAACTTAAGCTTGAGAAGAGGAGGCCGCGCAGGTTGATCGACCCCACTTTCACCAGCACCGTTTGCATGGACTCCAGACAACTTCTCAACTTTCTCTCGAACAGGTTTAGACACAGGTACAGGAGAGTTATCAGGATTTTGACTGACTCCTGATATAAGCTTGATTTTCATCCTCAGGGAAGGGGTCTTCAGTAAAGGCACTGGTGAAGGGATGTCTTTCTTCGGTAATGGTGGCTTAACCACAGGAACCTGTGCTGAATTTGGTGAATCTAATCCCTCCATCTTTTTAATTGGAACAGGCTTTCTCTTGAAAGTAATCTTTGTCCCTTGCCGTTCTAGCAAACCATCAGCAGCTGCTCCCGAGTCTTGCCAAGCAACAGGCTCACCTTCTTCATTGTATAGAGGACACTTTTTGTTTGTTCGCATGTGACCAAGCTGCAACAATAAGTTACCAGAGTAAACGGCTTGTATGAAATCTTTCAGTAAAAGCTAACAGCTCAATCTTTCAGTAATTATCAATATTTTAATAATCATTCTATAATCATCACATCCCCCAGTCGTGAGCATGTGGAAAATGTTGCAGATTCGAGAGAAAACATTTACGTGTAAAATAAAGTTTTTATAAAATGAATTTGTTACGAATAAAAATTAATAAACACTGATAATAAAAGCTAGATTCACAAACACTTAAAATATTTTATTGAAAGATTGAAAAAGAAGCTTATTTGAGCTCATAATGTGGGTTTGATAATTGGTAAATGAGGTCGATTAACCTGGGCCCAAAAAGAAACAAGGAGATAGCAGGTTCTAGATACATAAACCAAATGAACCAACTAAAATTTATTTCAACGACAATTCTTAGCGAACTTCAATAGCTAGCGTTAAAGACGTACACATTGTGAACACAATGAACTCATATTCGATTCTTGGAAGAGTAAAAAATACTTGACCTACTCAACTTAGAAGAAACGAAAGTTAAGCCCATCCCAAATAGACCAAATTAGTCAAGCGAGGCAGCAAAAAAGGTCCGCGAAATTCCTTACTTGTTGACAATTAAAAATCCTTAACTGCAAAAATCATTTAGTATGAGAGTACCAAACAGTGAAGAAAGAGCAGTGTCCCACCTGACCACAAGCCCCACAAACCAGCGATAACGCATCTCGCCCACATTTCCCAGTTACCTTGCCCTTAGCTGACATCTGTCACATCCAGACGGAATGCTAAGAAACCTCTCAAACTGCACGATCAGCCATAGCAAATAAAAAAAATGTTGTCCTCAACTATCAGATAATAAAGCTCGGATGATGAGTTCCTTCCTGATAGCTTGAACAACGAGTGGTATAATGTACCGTTAGGTAAAAGCATGCAAGAACACGGCTGGCATTTTGTAATTGCCCTTACAATCGACTAAAGAACGAGAAAAGGAATTATTTGAAAACCCACCAAATATCAAGGAATGGTGATGAAAATCTGCACTTCCGAAAATATCTAATCTAGATCATCATGAAGTCAGCAGCATTGCTAAGCCGCACCTTGATAATGATAATATCAGTGGCAGAGCTCAAAACACTTAGAAATATGACCTACCAGATATCATAAACCCTCTCATCTTATCCTACTCTAAGTAGAATGATACCATTACCAAAGAAATTCGACACTATACTTTAATTGAGCATATGTACCTCTTTTACAGGCGCTCCACTCTTCAATTTTTTGCTGACTGGAGGCGGCTTTCCTGTGCTCTTCTTGGCAGCACCGACTTTTTCAACTCCTACAACTTGGTTTACTACCTTGTTCGCGTTCTTCTTCGCAAGATAAAGTGCCACCTACAGCCACAATGCGCAACATAGGAACTAAAGTGAAAACCTGTGAAGGAAGAGGACAAGAAACCCAAGATTTTAAAGTTTCTGGAAAAAATACTCTACTTATCCAGGAAACAAAATATATGAGAGGATGTAGAAGAAAACGAAGAAAAAGAAGATCTGCAAGATGCAGAAGGAGACTCGCAACAATTAACAGAATCAACAAAATTGAGGTAGGAACATACAAATATTGATAAAGAGATGCCCCTACCTCTTTAGGGTCAGTGATGATAACTTCTTTCGAGGTATAGGTCCCATCAACCTTTCTGGTACGAATGATGCGCTTGATGATTTTCTTCTTCTTTTTGCCAGCTTGCCCTTCACCGCCTACAGCAACGTCAGTTTACAAATCTCATGTTTGCATTGGAAGAATCAGTACACGTGGCAATTAAACATTAATTACAGTTAACACGAAACTGATATAAAGCTTACAATCACGACGAAGGTGTGCAATCGCCACTCTTCCAAAGACGACTTGAAAGATCAGATTATTCATAAAGTGACACTATGACACAACTAGAAAAGAATCCCACCTAAATCAGGAGGTGTTTCAACAGCTTCCAGTTCCTTTTTTTCCATGCTCACAGGAACACTTTTCTTTTTCTTTTGTTCCTCCTCAGCTTCATCGTCTGTACAGCAGTAAAAAAAACTGATTAATTAAGATCCTAGCATACACAAATTCAACTATTCCGAATACCAACAAATATACTACTTCACTGCAACCTGACCAAAGCCGTTTTCTCTACACTGCCAAACAAATTTTAGCTTGGTAAATTGTGGAACAGTTAATACCTGCACGGAGCATTCTCCGGAGCTCTGCTGCCTCTGCCTCTTCATCTTCAATATCTTCCTCTTGTTGGGCAATCTGTTTGCGACGCCGAGCCCCAAGACCTCCCATTCCTTCTCGCTTTCCTTTCTTACCCCCACCGTCATCTCCCTCTTCGGCTTCTAAAAGATTTTCCAAGTCACCAGCAAAAGAATCAAGGTCCCCACCAGCTTCTCCATCACTTTCGGAATCATCACCGTCAGCCATCACGAGGCTTTGAGCTTGTCTATCCCAGATATCTTGGCATTTCTCTCGAGTTTGCTGTTGAAGCTGAAGAAAAGACATCCGCTGCCCTCGAGCGAATTTATTTAGAGTAGCCGCGCCGAGCTTTACGCCTGTAGCAGCTTGTTCACTCGAAAGTTTACGAACCATAGCAATTCGATGCCACCGAGTTAACTTGTCTATAATTTCTTCTGGAACTTTGAACTTCAAGAGAACCTATGCGACACGATTTGCAAATTTCAAACATTAGTGAAAAGAGCTATTGTGAGCTGCAGGAAAAAAAAACAAAACAAAAAACAAAAAAAACAAAAAACAAAAAACAAAAAAACAAAAAAACAAACAAACAAACAAAAAGAACTCTTAGCAGCAGGAAGTTTCAAATCAAGTAGAAGCATCAGAACCTCTCGTGCAGCTTCCATGCTAAGACGACGAAGATCAGCGTCAGTGCCGGTAACAGCTCCTCCACCTCTTGCAGCTGCTGCTTTCTTCTCTACCAGAGCACCAGCGTTAGGAGGTTTGGTTGCCACGCGTAGGTAGCTGAAACCCAGCCCTCGGCCAGATGGATCACCGGCTCCCACAATCTCAAGGCGCTCTAGGCTCCCCCGTCCCTGAAGAGAAATATTTAAATCTTAATACCTTAGACCAGAATACCATATTAACCGAAAGACTACTAAATTCTCAGGATAGTAAAATAGGTGCCTGAGCTGAGGTGGATGATGGATGTCGCTTTTACAAAGCAAGAAAAAGTCTGATTTACTTATTGCGATTATAACCTGAAAGCTGCATGATGTTAGATGCCTACTGGCTACACAGACTTAAAGCCATACAGAAATAAAGAAAACTCACAGAGACTAAATTCAATCACCTGCATTGTAGCGGCAACAAAATTTGAACTCAGATTCCATGGAGTAATTTGCAGTTCCCTCTCAATGTGTGATGCGGCAGCTAGAGTTATCGCCTCATCCGGAAGCTGGTTCATGGCAGCAGCTAATCCCGACGGCTGTGTTAATTTATGTACACCCATCCGTTTTAGGTGATGAAGCCCAGCTTGCATGCTTTCGTATGTACATACCTGAAGGCAAAATAGAAAATGCTCTAACTTCAGGATTTAAACACAATTATACGACCTCTACGCCAGCTCCTAACCAGCAAAACCGAAGCTCCTACAATAAAGCTCAGCCAAATCCAGAACAGAAATCGTACATTCTCTGGTGTCACCAAACGCCTCATTTCTTCCTCAGAAGGAATCCTAAAATTTCGCCGCATCATCCAGCACATCTCCCCTCCAACTTTCTAATCAATTGCCACTAAAACCAACGTCAAAATCATCAACGTCAACATAAAATCATTTCAGAAGGAGCTGGGATACAACAGCGAAGCAGATGTAAACATACACTAGAAGTCACAGAAGGTTGGCATTCAGATTTTTAGTCGAAAATACAGATTAACAATAATTAATACAAACTAATTACCCTTAGCCTACTAAAGGAGAGGAATGTTAACCTGAAGATCAGCACAATGTTTTAACCGTTTCCGGATGAAGCCTTCAGTAAGAGAGGGGAATTGTGACGTGACATCATCGGCCCGTACATGTGGCGTAATGACACCGGGTTTCTCCTTCTCACGAAACTCACGGTACAAATATACCAATAACCGGTTACCTACGTGATTCTGCACTGACTTCGAAGTAGGGGTCAACACCTCCATGTGAGGCTCCTGGTATCAACAAAGGCCTGTAAGTGTCAGAATAAAAATTGATAAAAATCAGATTTTAAAATAATAATAATAATAACCCAAAAATGTATGTGATTAAGCATTAAAAGGTGCAAAACTAGCCCAGGCATATAAAAATTAAAAATTTGAAATATTTCAAAATGTATATGACACCATCACTTAGCCATGAGATACTCACGACAGTTCGAAACACTACTCAAAATAAGAATACTAAATCCCTATTCAGGATAATTACAAAACATGAAAGTGGAGAAGTGGAAGAGACCTGCTGTCCAACAACGTGGATGCTGTCAATCCGTCTGAGAGACAATTTCCCTTTCGGAGAACGAACGAGCAGGAAATCAGTGGTAGCCACTTTATGTGGAAAAATAGGTGCCCTATACATGTTTGTTTCAAGACTAGATTGAGTTTCACCAGGTCTGATGTCACCGAGAAATGGAGAATCTTCCGTTGGCTCTAGAGGTAAAGTGATGCCAACCCAAGGCCCCCGCTCAGCACGGAGGGTCGCAGCAGTGGCATCTGTTGAAGATCGCTTACGATAATAAGTGAAGAGACGGCCTCCCATACCCACATTTCCAAGAAGCAGAGGCCTTTCTTCACAATACCTATACCACATTCACAAATGTACCCATGAAAATGTCGAACAAGTATTATTGTATCGATGCCACGTAGACACCAAATGGGTGCAAAAATTTTAAACCAAATCCAATCAACGTGGACCAAAACAGCCGTGCTTGAATGAAACGAATAATCTGTGAGCACTACGTCAAATGTACACGCAGGTCCATGATAAGTTCATGGTTCACCAACTCTGTTAGCCTGGCATCACCAAAAATTAGGTATAATCTGGAAACCTTCATTGGAACACTTATATGCTAAGTTCTAGAGGCAGAACCTAATACATCTAGAAGTCTACAACCAAAAAAACTTCAAAATGAAGTAGTCTTCTACAACAGCAAGATAAAAAGGTATGCATGTACCAAAATTCAAAAAAAGCTACGAAAGTTGACTATTAAAAGGAAAAGAAGAGAAATATGCATACTCCATTAGAGCAACATGACCATCCTTTACTGAAAGCTCTGATTTCTTCTTGAAGGCTCCTGGTGGTCGTAAGGGCTTGTTCTCGCCTGGCAGGCGCTGTGCTTTCGGCCAAGGATAAATTTTGGTCCGCACCAGATGCAACACCGAATTTGGTGGAACTTGCTGTTGAGCGAAGGTATACCCATCTACCAACTCCTTCCCTGAATAAAATACCTTCATCTTTTCGAAGGGTATCAGATCTATCGCCAATCACACAAGTTTAATAATCCAAGAGGCAGAATATTTATGATTTCAACTTATAAGAGTTCGCAATCAGGAAAATGGACAGGAAAGAATGTTCACCTCCCAGCTTCTTTGCAGTTTTTGCCTTGAGTACATCCAAAGTCTCCGAGGCATCAACAGTGAGCTTGCTCCCTTTCCCGCCTAGTGTTTTCACGATGACTTTCATGGAACCTCTAGCAGCAAGCTTTCCCTGTTCCTTTGCAGCAACCTCGTTGTGATGAGGATACCACACCGCCTTGGGACGATGAAAATTTGCTAGATCCTTACTGCCAAGTTTGAACATAATAGCAGTTTAAAAAATCAGTTTACTGAATTTTTTAAACTTCTTCTTTCACTAAAACAAAAAGACGAGGAGATCAAACAAATGCTTACAAAATACATTCACAATGTCTACTTCATGATTAATAATGCATCCTAAACGCCACTATTATTATTGACTGTCATACATCTCTCGCTCCTCCATAGAGAGACAACACGTAGGATTGTTACAATCAGCACTCTAAAGAAGTCTTAGCAGGACTGCATTTGGTACATAACCTACATTCAAGAAAACATAACGAGACGAATAAAGGATACACGTAAATATGGTAAGTTCCGCAAAGAACATGTCGTCAATTCCATTAAATCACCAAGGTCTGAGAAATGTAGGATAAATGAAATCCTGTTCAAACAGTACAGTAGAAAGAAGCACCATAAATTGCATATAGCTACACGAGAGTAACATGTAGCTACAGACAAGTAAAAGAACCCACTTGGATAGCTTAGGCTTCATGCTTTGAAGTTTGATAGCTGGGAGTGAATGCATCACTTTGACTCCATGGATAGCCCGCTTCTTAGCATTTGACTTCTGTTGTTGATGGGTCTTTTTGTTTGTGTAATATTTGTCATTGCTAATGTTGAATCTAGTCAAAGGCAAAGAAGTATTAACCGCTTCCTCTGCACCATCAGAAACCCCATCTTTTCCCACCGCAGTAAGCACAACTGCTGCGGCGTGTAAACATATGGATTGGCCATCATTGGCTTCAGTTGTCTCGAATACCATTTGTGAATCCATTAAATCAAAAATTACCTGAATCACAAACATTGATTAATTGATTAAATAAAAACCTAAAACCCGACATTGCTCAGAACCTAATACCAGATAGACGTAAAAGATGTGGATAACTCTAATATCAACGAACAGTTATAAATGAAAATAACAATAATAATAAAATTACAAAAAAAAAAAAAAAAAAAAAAAAAAAAAGAGAGCGATTGATATCAATACAAATATAGATCATGTGTGACCCGAATCATCTAGGCGAAGTGATGATAAACCGCAATCCCAACACACTGTTCCAATATCAATAAGCCTTTTGGCGAAGTCAGAGGACAGAAAGACACCTTTGACCTTGGTAGGCCGGACTCTGGCTCTCCCCAGAAAATACTACCAAGCCAACTTCCACGTGTAAGCTCCTGATTCTTCTCCTTCACTTCAAGAGTCGTGTTATTAATACGCCTCAACAATGCAGACCTCGATTCTTCTCCAGGCTCTCTGTGAAAGCGCAGAGTCTCAAGTCTGAGCATTTGTGGATGCCGCACGGTTTTTGCAGGCATAGTAAGTTCGTCCTCATCTTCTATATCCCTACATTTCTGGCATAATGGTTCTACCACATAAGGCCTTCGCCAATCAGAACAATCACTCAACCTCGTATCACATTGCTCTTTTACAAGACATTGAAGGTCGACATCAGACAGGTGACTTTGCTCAGTATCTCTGTCGACCTCAACCAAATGACAAGTGGAACGATGATCGGATATGGATGCGCCCCGTCTACTAACATCCGAGGTATCCCAAATTATATCATCTTCCCATTCCACTTGATGAATAAGATCGAAGTTTGCATCAGGTATTTGTCTCCTACACTCTGCAATATCTTCTTCATACGAATCTTCGTCTCCTTTCATGGGTTCTGAGGCAGTAAACACAAGCTTTTTCTGTTTTGTCCTATCACGCCGACTATGTGAAATGAAAAGCGCTGTCTGATTGCCATCCTCCTCTGATCTGTTGCCGATATCGAAATCTTCAGAACTGCTTCCCAGGCTTCCTTCTGCAGTTGACGAATCAGCAGCAATTACAGGTTGTTGAGAACACCTCTTGAGTACTGCCTCTTCATCATCCTCCATAGCTTCCAGATCCTCTTCTAGTCGCTCTCGTTTCTCTGTCCAATTGAGTCACAGGATCAGCTTCTCCATCCACTCAGATCGAGGTAAATTACCCTGTAAGTAACTTCAGAATGTAAGGTGAGGCCAAAGTGGCCCAAATACTCTATGTATTTGTAGCACCTTATCTTCCATTGGTTACAGATAAGAAATTTGCGCTTCAAAAACTAGGTTCGTTAGATCTCGCATCTACTGAAAATCTCCAAACATGTGTCTTGAGGACAAGAACCGATACTATAACTGAGATGATCAGATGCAGCGTAAACACCTTAATGAGCATACTCTTACTAGCAATACTCCTAAGTTACATTAGCAAATGAAAATCCTAGCCAACACTCCTAGAGAATCTAACAGGCAAAACACAAAACCGAATCGTAGGAACTACAAGACTGACCTCTGCTGTGAACTCGTTTCTGCCGCCCTTTACGATGACCAATGACCCAATAAGGTTCTCGCACTCCAAAAAGCTCAGAGAATCTAAGCACAGTTTTTCCGCCCTCTTGACAAAGAACAGGAAGAGAAATTTTTGCAGCCTCATCTTCTTGCTCCCTTGACGACGAGGTCGTTTCCTGTAAAATTAAAGAAAAACAACCACTACTAAGAAAATTAAAATACCACGTCTTTGAAAAGATGGAAACCATAGAGAATCACAGCCAAACAAAACCAAACATGTAAACAATCTAAGGTATTACCTGAGACCCCAAAATTTGGTCCCAGTCCTCTTCTTTCTCGTCCTCATCATCGGAAGCCATCATATCTACTGCACTTGTTCGACACTGTTCCTGTGCCACAGGGACTTCCTCTTCATCTTCTTGTGTCAAAAGTGCCTCATCGTCTGTTTCTGAATCATTACAAATAAAAGGAATCAGAGCGCAGGCACATGCAGAAAAACCGAGTGGAAAACGTCTATGAAATCAGCAAAATATGCACAACGACAGCAAGGTAGCGTTAGCTGCACGATTCTCTCTCTCTCTCTCTCTCTCTCTCTCTCTCTCTCTCTCTCTCTCTTTCTCTCATATACATAAAGCCTATGATGAAAACTTTTATTTCAAACAAGCTCGCCTGCCCAAGGCATAAGACCTAAAATCGACGTAAGGGTCGTAAATTTTGGCAGATTTTCATTTCACATCGATGCTTTGTTCCTAAAATGTACAAAAAAACGTGAAGAGAACATCATAGTTGACAATTAAAAGCAACAGTTCAACATTTCGTTTCTTATAGCACAAATATCAGGAAAAGATTTCTTTTTAATTCTATTTTGAATTTGAAAAGGCCATCGGTGCATGAAGATACATTAAAAACAGCATGATTAGGCTCTTCACGGTCATCTCAATTTTGGCATAATCAAAATTGAACTTTTGAACCAAGCGTCCTATATGAGCTGATCATTGGACATAAATACAAACATATTTAATACAATGAGTTTAGAATCATGCCTGGAGCAATTTTGACAGGCGATTCCATCTTGGACCCATCAGGCTGCTCGGAATCAAAATCCCAGTCTTCCACCTTGGCTTCCGTAGGTTGTTCAGAATCAAAGTCCTCATCCTCGTCATAATTATCCTCTTCAACCAGCTTAACGGATCTAGCCAATGCAGATTCAGCATAAAACTGCATATCCTGCGGGGCAAGTTGGACTTCGGGACCCTCGTACTGCTCCTGTATGTCCTCATAGTCCACTGCATCTACCGCTTTCTGATCATAATCTGCGAAAAAATGACAACTCATCAGCAACCAACTCCAAATACACCTTCAGAATCCAGAAGATAGGCACTGCAGGATTGAACACCGTAAGAACAAACAGGTCACTAGGTCAAAACCACGAATCGAATTTGGTAGACCAAAAGGCCGAGCACACTGTTGGAGGATTATTTAAACAAGACTTTTGGCTACAAATTTGAGATCCAAAAAATTGGAGAATCGCTAACGGACCATGTATAAATCTAATACCAAATTTGGGGTAGGGTACCATCTTAGTTTCAATATTGAAAAACCACATTTGGGACTTAAACATTCCGTAGAGCACAAAATAAAACAAAATAAAATATTTTAAAAAAATGTCTTAAACATTACGCTTTCATCATCAGCTTTAAATAAATGAAATCCAAGCATCATAAATAAAACTCGACTAGTTCCACTCTATCAGACCATACCTTCATGCTCATCAGCCGCACTGGCATCTGTCAGTCTTTTCCTCTTGGCACAAAGCTGCTGCACACCCAATAACGATCGAAGTGTGACATAACAGCAAATGCTTCAACTGGAAGTCTCCGGCAGCGTCCAGGGTAAACAGCATTAAGACCATACTTTTTCAAATATCAAACTAGATTTTGCGCTCGTCCAAATGCACCTCATTGAGAGATGATCAAAATAAAAGAAAATAAAATAAAATAAAATAAAACATCTCTGCCAAAAGATGACGTCTGAATCTAGCTCCAGACAGCTGCAACAAACAGTCAGGAGAGCAATTATAGGGACAGGACCATGAATCACAGAAAACTTACTTCAATATCAAATAATGATGGTCCTAACTGGTGTGCCAATGCTGACAAATGCTCCTTTGCGTCCTATAAAAATGCAGATGTTTGTGATCAGGACCACGAATATGCAGAAGCCGAGTCAGAAAACGAAAATATTGTCAATGGCTACACTTAACAAACATTAAGCCTTTCACGACCCAAAATAGAACACTTTCACCAAATATGAGGACTATGGCCAAAACTTAACAAGAAAAGCATGATGGTTGGGTAGGTCACAAGGCCTTCTGTGTAATATCGTAGCACCGTTATAATTTAAGGTATTTAAAATATCACGATTTCAGACAGTGCAAAGAGAAGAAATAGCGTCATTGTACATGGTTAAAAAATTCGTAACAACCTGATCGAGGTACTCTTCGTCAAGGCCGCCCGAGTCGTCCACATTGCCAAACATAAACCCCAGCATCTGCTCACCCCTTCCCTCTCCATCTCCATCTCCATCTTCCTCTTCCTCATCGTAGTCCCTTTCACTGTTCTCTTTGAATATATCACCCATAAGGGTCCCAACTTCAAGACCTACAGCTGCATTAATATTCATACCATGAGATTAAATTTCGCGTGGGGCTCGGGTATCACGTCATTCATGCACTATCAGTAACACGATCATGCCTCGGAAGGTTGCAGATGGGATTTTAAAGGATCGAGCGAAGCCAAATAAAAATAAAATAAAAATAAAATTTGAGCTTCTTAGCCGTCAATCTGTCCACACTCCGAATCCACATCAATGGCTCTGAGTTCATGTCCCAAAGCGAAATGGCTAGCGACGGAAATCTCAAGGGAGTTCGCTGATGTCGGCGTCAATATCGCAATGGACGACTACAGCATAAACCGTTCAATTTTAATTCATTCATCGAACCAGATAATTTCGATTTCTGCCAGCCCCATCTCTTCACCATCAATGATTTCATAGCGCCAACATCAAACACCTATAGCTCACTGTCCTTCCACAAACTTGTCCGTCTCCTTGAACCCAAACCCTAACCCTAACTCCTTCCACAACACCCCAAATCCTGGACCAAACCAAACCGAGCTCAAAGAAACAAAGCTCCGCAATCAACACTGGATAGCCTTCGAAATGCCTTGAAACCTCGATAGAACCTCGAAAAAACCCCACGTCAACTTTCCGGAGCTCCAAGTTTCATCACATTTTTGCAATTTAAAGCAACGCAAAGTCGCCGACAATTTTCAATTTCCTGTCACGCCATCACCAGGAATTAAACCCTGTCGCTCGTCAAGTTCCTCTAAAACCCATTCAGTAATCGTTACTGTGGTTGCAGCTTGTAACCTCGCTCGCACACGTGGTGTTTGGTAAACGCCAACAGGCCTGAAGCACCGACGCGTGAGCGACCCAGCGAAAAGCCTCGAGAAAGTAACGATGGGGTGCAGATTTTACACCCAGACGATACTTTACCGTGACACCCACACCGCACAACCCTGGAACTTCAAAACTCTTCTCATAAATAACAGACCCACGTAATTGCATTCCACGCAGGTCAGACGGAACCCGCGGTGACAGCATCAGGCAGCCCGATGTGGGGTTCGTCTCACTTTTCACTGTCTGGCTTTCTCATGAGGCTGCAAGGAAACCCCGCATTTACCCACGCTGGAAACTTGAACATACGAGAATACCTGAATTTGAATTCAAACCTGCTACAATGTGGGACTGTAAAAGAATGACTCTCATTAACCAAGATGGGCCTAATTATTTCTGGTTTAGGCTTGCCACCCCCCTTCAACCCCCTCAACAAGTAAACACACATACTCAATTGATTATTCATTGATTAGTTTTTATTGAAACATGAGATCGGCGTTCTTCATCAGAGCATGTGCAGTAGAATATGTTGAAAAAAACAACTTTTCAAAGAGATTTTGTTATCCGCGAAGATTTGCCGGAAGTTCTAGGCTCACCATTTCAGGAGTATTCTCTAGAAGCTCTACGGGACTACATCAATTTTGCAACGCAAGTCTTTTGCACTGCTACATTGCCCATCTTCATCAATTGTTTTTTTAGTCTTTGTGGCTATGCGCCCATTGTACCATAATCCCACGCATGATATCTCTTTTAACTTCTCACCGACAGAATTGTGTCTTTGTAAAAAATATATTGTATCTGGGACAATATTCCTGCCAAGCGGTTTCCAGAATTTCTTCAGGAAAAAAGTTAAAATGAAGTAATAAATTATTTACGACATTCACAAATATTGATTTTCAAATTAGAGTTTAATTTCTAAACACGTGATTTACAAACACGTGATTATGATAAGATGGAGGCGGGACGAATGAAAGGCTAAACTAGAAAAATTTAGTGGACAAGCACCCAGAAAAGTTGAATTCTGTAGATGATGATGATAATAATAATAATAGTCGGAAGACCAACCAGAAACCCTGGACTCGTATTTCAGAACCGCCAAGTGTTAGGAATCCACATCCATTTTGAAGCGACAACTGCGTCATCGGCACTTTGTCAAGTCACAGATCACGATGGCTGATGTGGAACTGCCATGAAACTTGCAACAACCGATTTCATCCAAAGTGACTCGGTTCTTTTCAATCTTGAGTCTGTTTGGGGGTGCTTGAGTCAGGGATGCGGAGCCGCAGTGTGTGGAGTTGCGATCGGTGCTGCAATTAATCGGAAGTTGAGTTATTCTTTATCTCGCAACTGGAGGCGGGTTTATGGTGCTATGGGTGTATATCGACTCGGAGCGGGTTTGTGGAAAGAGTGTGCTGCAGCACAAAGTTCCTGAGAATTGTGAGTTGCATCTTTAGCTCCATTAGGGAACTTGGAACTTTGAGCCTTGGCTTGTTGCACAAGATAGATTTGTTGGTTTACTGTTTTTTTGTATTTAGATGACGTCGATAGGCCTTAGAGCCTCTTCGCACTTCGTCTAAACGGAGATCCTCACTTTAATTCTTAGTACATTTTGTATTCCGTCGGGATATGCGTACAACGTGAGCACAACGTATCACGCTCGGATGGTTTACTTACGCTGTGTGTCATAGCTATCGTGAATGAGCAACAAGGTGAGGAGTGCATAATGAGTATCGGCGTTATTGTGTATTGAAGAGCAGAAGAGGGCATGGCGGGAGCAAAGAATCACTAACACTATAAGTGCCGCTGCAGAATGGACTTTTGCAATGAATTGTGTAGATCAAACAGATAGCTTGAGAGGAATTCTGATTGTCTTGACAGCGGAGCCGATTCAACTCGCTGCAACCCAATTGTCAGATTCTTAACTTAGGAATTGCTGTTACTGGTTGAAATGAAGCTTACGCAGTGCTATGTTCTCCAGGACGGGTTCATGAGAAGTTCAGAAGTTTTTGGGAGTTAATTGAGATAATCCATATTCTTCAAGAGAGTCATGTACGAGGAAGATCATATAGAGACAAATTCGAATTACCTTCCTGAAACCGTTTTACGACATTCAGAACTGGAGAATCTCACAGACGACAAGGAAAATAACACGTTGACTCTGGTGGTACTTTTAACCTAGGAATACCACAGAGCTGGGGACGTAATATTTGTATAGAGCGAGAAAAATTAACGTTAATGGGATCAAGGGTCAAGTGCTGTTATGCAGGTAACTTTTTGAAAACAGTCAAATGCTGGAGGATGGCTAGAGGTGGGGATTTGACAAAAAATGCTTTTAATTCATCTGAATTAGATGTCTCCAACGCATTCTCCAGCAATTCTCGACGCTTTCTAACAACTTTCACTAAGAGTTACGAGTCAGACACGGGCGCACAGTTCTCCAATGCGAAGGTTAGGGTTGATGGGCTTGTGATCCTTAATCGATTCTCTTCGCAATAATAGTTCAGTTAACTATGTTCTGTTAATGAGCAATTTCTATTTTCAGAATTCTTTAGTCTTGGATCGCTGCAGGTATCAAGTCTTCCGAAGTATGTGAAAATTGTAGAAGTGGGGCCTCGGGACGGGTTGCAGAATGAAAAGGGGATTATTCTTACTTCTGTGAAGATTCAGCTCATTCAACGCCTTGTTGCCGCTGGTCTACCTGTTGTCGAGGCCACAAGCTTTGTATCACCCAAGTGGGTGCCTCAGGTATGTGAAAGATGCGACTTATCATTGCATTCTTTCGGAACAGCTTAAGGCAACTGTGAACAGACCTGAGATCTTTTGCTAGAAAAGGACCGAAGATATGGTTTGCGTGGATTACGTTACTCATATGGCTTCAAATGATTTTTTTCTTGCCCCTGGACATCAGAATTGGCTCACCAAAAATTCCTTCACCCTAAAAATGCGTTAGTTGTGCGACTGCTGATCGTGCGTGCTGATTCTCATGGCAGTTAGCAGATGCTAAGGATGTGATGGCTGGTGTCCGGAATTTGGAACAAACCAGATTGCCTGTTTTGGTACCGAACTTAAAGGTACAAGATATCTTGTTTGGAAGCTGCAGTGATTCACTTCGAGCACATGCTTTCACAAGGGATACTCAAGCTTCCAATCACGCACATTTGTAGCTTCTTTGATTCACACAATCAATAAACCGCCAGTTGTGTGTTGTTGTAGACTTAGCTACAGCAAACCAGGTGCAAACAGGTAGTGATCTGCACATGTGTTAACGCAGGGTTTCAAGGCAGCAATTGAGGCGGGGGCACGGGAGGTGGCAATTTTTGCTGCTGCTTCGGAGTCATTTGCCAAAGCCAATACTAACTGCACCGTCGAGGAAAGCATCAATCGTTTTCGAGAAGTGTGCGATGCAGCCAAGAAGCAAAATATTTCTGTACGAGGGTATGGGATATAATTGTAAACCACTACCTATGGAGTGGTCTTGATGCTGATGAGGACTGTGTTTTATTGTAATTTGATTGTGTCGGTAACTTCCTGAGCTTTTACAGGTATGTTTCGTGCGTTGTGGGTTGCCCGATTGAAGGTCCTATTTCTCCCGACAAAGTAGCCCATGTGGCGAAGGAGCTTTTGCAGTTGGGCTGCTATGAAATTTCATTGGGTGACACAATTGGAATTGGCAACCCTGGTAATCTTTCGACCAACTAGTTAAAGCTTAATTGCAAGTATTTTCTTATCCTCCAGAATGTACATAGCACAAACCTTGGGTTGTCATGTATAGGAACGGTGAGGCGGATGCTTCAGGCAGTGATGCAAGAAGTTCCTGCATCCAAATTGGGAGTGCATTTTCACAATACCTATGGACAAGCCCTAGTCAACATAGTTGTTGCTCTTCAGGTATGAATCTTCACTGTCTTGCATGAAATATGGGGTAGCCTGGCTGTCATTCTCCTGCACAACTAACCTCCCTAAGTTACTGTGATAATGAAACTTCGCACAAAAGCTATGGAGCAGTAGAGGGTCTCTCTGCGTATGATGATAAATAGTTAATCTTTCTTGGAGGACACTGAACTCAACCATACGAATTCTGCTGGGGCTGCGGATTTTGGGTTCAGGGTTTAGGATCCTTCTTAGAATGGATGTAATCACAATCACTAACCAGTTAACAATCGTTATGAACAGTTTCCATCAATAGCAATATGATGGTATGTGTGGAGGCGTTAACACCCCTTCTTTCTATATCTAGTGCATGTTGTCTCCTAAAATATTAGAATTGTATCTGTCAGCGTGCCTCTGACGTGAAAAAACTCAAAATCTATTATTCTTTTGTTACAATGATTCATTTTCTTACTGCAAAATGGGGCAACCAAGCACAGTGATTATACAGCTATTTCAGCATTAGCTAGAGTGGTTTTCTCATGGAAAGATTGCAATCTTGGCAACGTGGCAGATGGGTATCAATGTGGTGGATTCCTCAGTAGCAGGCTTGGGTGGCTGTCCCTATGCTAAAGGTGCTACAGGCAACGTTGCTACCGAAGAAGTACTTTATCTACTAGAGGGTCTTGGAATCAAGACAGGTGTTGATCTAGCTCAAGTAGAGGAAACTGGGAAATTTATTTGTGAACATATTGGCCGCGCTTCAGGGGTTAAAGTCGGAAGGTCTATGAGTAGAACAAAGGGAATGTCTAAACTTTAGTCAATCCTAAGTGGTATGAATTGGCAAACCGGTTGAATGAATCTTGATAAAGTGCAGCTCTTATTCAGGCTGAGGAATTTGGTTGGAGTGATTAGGTTGGACGAACTTCATGCCCCCATATTGGGCCATGAACGGGCAGCATTGATGCAGGAGGAAAACCGCAGTTAGTGTAAAATCTAAGGAGCTAAACGCCTAAGTTATTCTTCAAATTTGAAAATTTACGAGGAAAATGCCAAACTCATAATTTAAGATTGTCTATATGCAAGAAAATGAGGCAATAATCGACATAAATCGATAGTTGATTTAGCAAAGATACAAAATCTTTGCTAATGCTACCTGAGCTTCTTCCTGTTCCCTAGTCTTGACTGCTCATTACCTCAAATAAAAACAATGTACCGCAATGATTTCTGCTAGCAAAATCAGATACAATGCTAGAATCAATTCTAAACAAGAATAGAATTTAAATGGATATCTTTAGAAGTTTTGTTCTGTTGATTGGTACCCGTAATAATTTTGGAGTTAAAAACTTTCATCCTCAAGAACTTAATGTTTTTAATTTTTTTTAGTACTATCATGTTTCTGTTCTGTGACACAAGATAGTGAGCTCAACGGCTGAGCACGCTTCAAGTGTTATCGGCCTCACTCTACTCAATTTTTCGCATCGTATTCAATTCGTCTAGGAGCCATGAAGGAGCACCACTGTGCAAAATACACATTTTCATGAGTAATTAGAGCACTTACTGGGGTGAAACGCACAAACATCAGACTTCAAACCATGCAAAAGTGGTCAACTTGGCCAGTGGTGTTAATAGGTTTTTAAAGACGTTCATATCATGAAATTTTAGTTGATTCAGAAGAGTATTAGGGAGTCTTTGTAAGCAGAATCACATTTTTTAAGGCCATGGTTCAAAAGCCTTACCAAGGTCTATCATTTGGTGAAAAAAGCTTTCTCTTAGGAGCATTTGCTTTTAGATATAGCATTAAGGCCATGAAATAGAAAAAATCAATATTTATTACAAGTCTAAATATGTCAACTCATATCTTGATTCAAAGAATTATGAAAAGTATAAAATGCTGATTTTATTTCTATTATTAATAATAGTTCTTTGAAGCAATTTTTGATATGGATTCTTAAGTTTTTCTAAAACTGCCTCTTCAAATGGATCCAACAAAAAATTCAAGGAACAACTCTATTCGTGTCATATAAAAAAAAAAATCTTCTTATAATATTTGGACTAATTTTTTTTAAATAAAAAATTTGCTATATTTTATATTAAACTATTAAATCCACGTTTCTTCTTAGATTATGACTTGAACTTTGACTTGGGAAAATTCTTAAATAAAAATTATTTTTTAGTATTCTATTCTCAAAATTTAAAATTGAAAAAAATTGAATCAACCAATACTTTACAAACTTCAAGTTTTCTTTGTTCATTGATGAGGTTTATAAGTTGCATAATAAGAAGACCACAAAGCCTCAAAATTTAGGGTTCTTGGTGCATTTTATATAGAAAATTATTTCTAAATATTTTTATAGTGGTATACCTATAATATTTTTGAAATTAGATATAATAATTATAAAAAGACATTCTTTAATGAACATCTATTTTTTAAGTAGTAACTATGACATTATTTTAAATTTTTTTATATAAAAAAATTATTTTTATTTTTCTATCTTTTTGTCATATAAGTATAAATACATTGAATTATTACTATCATTTCTAATTTTTTTTAGATAACTAAATTATTAGATAATATAAATTTTATATAGTAAAATAATTTGTAGATATCAATAACAATGGATACAATAATTTTTTCTTCTTTAGGATATGTTAGAAGATTCAAGAAGCTTGTGAGAATTTAAGAAAGGTATATCTATATATATATATATATATATACATATATATATATATATACATATATATATATATATATATTTTATTATAGTTTTGAAAAAAATCAAAAATTTAGTATTTAATATTTTTATAATATTGACCCTTATAAATATAAAATTACAAATAATGTATATGAACAATTCCCTTATATTTAAAAATACTCTACCTAATAAATTTAAAAATATAAAATTTCATTTTTGAGATAATAAAATATTCTTTGTTATTTTTAATTTAAAAACTAAAAGTAATTTCTTTAATTTTTTATTTAATTTTACTCATTATAATTAAAAATGGTAGTAGATAATTGTAGCTTAAAATACTTTAAATATGATGGATTTTTTGAATAAAGAATAAAAAAAGATATATTTGTATCCTAAATCAAAAATTTTAAAAAAGATAACATATATTTTTAGTAGATATTTATATATGGATTTTAAAGAAATTAGTCCAATTCTTTAAATAACTAATTTTTGTATACATATATATATATATATATATATATATAGCAAGAGAGAAAGATTTAAAGAGTCTTTGTTTATTCCTCTACTTCAAACTTTCATTAGATCTTGATGATAATTTATGTGAATTTTGTATCACATTTGAGCTTCTTGTAGCTAAATCACTAAATTAAAATTTCATTCACTCTAGTGCTTGGAAATTTGATTTTATCAACTAACCAAGAGCAATTTCTATGAGCTTTGAGCCTTTAGACAGAACTAAAAATCTTTAAATATTACCAAGTTTATTTAACATAAAATCTTTTAAATATATATGAAATTATTCATAAAATTTGAAATATTATTTATTTTATTATATCTAAAAAATCAAAAAGTTTAAATAAATAATTATAATCATGAAAAATTATTATTCTAAGGAGTTTAATTTTGGTCTATAAACCAAAAAATAGTTAAGAAGCCATTTGTGATTTAAAAATACAAGTGTAGTATTTAGAATACAAAGTTTAAGATGGATATTATACATTTAAAATAATTTCAACTTCCAAACAACAATTAGATTGTCCAAAAAGTTACAAGATATTGAAATATTAACTAATTTCATTAAATTGTAGACCACTACATTATACGTACATGTGCTTATAGTCATGATTATTGTTGTCAAGTAGATTTGAAATAGAATTTATAGAATCATTGGCTATAAGTTGTCTATTAAGTCTCTTATAAAAATGATTACAAATCAATTATATGCTACAAAATGAAGCATAGTTTTTAACCAATCTTGTAAATAAAAATAAAAAAAATAAAAAAATAAAATAAGTATCTTAAGCAAAAAAAAAAAAAAGAAAAAAAAAGAAAAAAAAAGTTAGTAAATAAGCTTATAATGTACATCTTAATTCATGGTTCTAAACAATTTGACAATACCATCATATAAATATTTTTGCTAAAATTTCTATACTTGTGTATCATAAAAAAATACAAAAATGTAGAATATACCAATCAAACTAAGTCCAAGTATAATTTATGTATCAGTTTTTTCATTTAAGTGCATTGATTTACTATTCAAATCCAATTTTCTTCGCAGCAAGGCTCCCACAAATCCATCAGAACTGGAAGACCAAACATACGGGGCAGTTGAGTTTTTTGACGAACTTCATGACATTTTCTGAATGTGGAGTTCGGACATTTACGAGCATTCAGGAGAATGCGCCGTTTGACTTGGCAGTCGGAAGTGTTCTCGTTCTGTTGACGAATGGCGTGGTGTGTGCTCAAGTTGTGACTTATGGCTCAACTCCAGAGCCTCCGCACGAGAAGTTGGTGAGCGATGCCAAGGCGGACTGATGCTAATCTCAGTGCTTGTCTTCAAAGGTAAAATGGGCTCCACGAAGTAGTATCTGTATTTTTTTTTAAATGCGTCCACCCATTCGAGCCAAGATTAATTTACAAGACCGATGTTGGTTAAGTGGATGCTTCATTAATAATGCTAGGGATTGGTGATAGTGTCGCACATTATGTTATGCTCACAATGGGCACAGCATAAAATTCTGATTCAGATCGCGCAGAGTGCTGTTTCTAGATTAGTCTTCGGTGACGCAGTCAAGGTATGAGATTCATCGTTGTAATCTATTGTGGCGACGAATTGCGTGTGGAACAGTGTAGTTTATCCCGGAAATCCTCGTGGTGGTTGGCAGAGATATTTGTACAGAATTGTGAAAGGAATGTTCTGACTTAGGGTTTTTCATTTTTAGGAATGTTAGCAATTTTCCTTGCAAATAAGGTTGGCCTTGGCTGATTAGTACTCTGATTGCAATGGTGCCATTTTCACTTTTCCTGATGCCTTTCAAGCTAGTGTCTGAAGTGAGACTTATTAGATTTAGAAGGCATCATGCGTTTCACTGGATGAAGCAATGCTCAATCCACTTTCATCGGAGAGACATTGGGAACCCATGCCAAATCCTGCTGGTTCCTTCAGCAGGAGGGGGGGGGGGGGTGACTTCGAACCAAATTAACGATACTAGAGGGCTATGAAGATATCTTACAATGATAGAAATACATCTCCACCAGGATGAACAAAACTTACTAGTACATTTGAGAACATAAAGATCAGTACATGAGTGGGAAATAAATCATACTACAGCATGTTACTGTAAGTGCTCGCTACTCCTAGTGGTAACCTCAAGGTGACTAAGTGGGAGGCTAACAGCTGACCATGAGCATGTTACAGATGTGCTTACGGCCACATTCCACCAGTACACTACTAGTCACAGTACATCTGTGGAACGGACCTGCAAAATTGCAACTAAGCCTCAACATCCTAGTACAATTCGATGATCGACTGGCCGCATATTCAATAGTACATTACTAAACGTCCACCTAACCTTTCAGGAAATTCAAAGTCTCAGCAATGTGCTTTTCTGGCTCAAACTGATTGTTGAAGATAAATTGCACTTTGCCGTCCTTATCAATGACGTAAGTCTGACGACCAGCTAGGGCTCCGAAGAGGTCACTTGGCACACCCCAGTCCTTGCGCAGCTTGTTGCCGTCGTCACTGAGCAAAGTGAATGGAAGTCTATATTTTGCTTTAAATGCCTGCACACCATGTTAAACATGAATTCCATCAACAAAGGTAATATTACCTCATCCTGGCGACACCGTTCATATTAAGCGAATATAGATCTTAAGATGGTAACGAAGTAGACTGACCTTGTGGGATTCGGGAGTGTCACCACTCACTCCAACAACCTCAGCACCTGCCTTCTTGAACTTTTCGTACGAGTCGCGAAATGAACATGCCTGCCTGGTGCAGGCGGGACTCTCATCGGCAGGGTAGAAGTACAGCACCAGGGGCTTGCCCCTGAACTTGTCTAGATTCACCAATTTGCCTTCCTCATCTTTGAGTCCGACTGGAGGCACAATATCCCCCTTCGAAATCTGCATTGGACATTAATTCAGTTTCACTGAGAATAACCCTATTTGCACAGCTTCATGGAAAAGACAGGACATCACAAGTTGCTATGACGCCATCCAGCGTCAATATTTTTCGGGAAAGGATTTCTTAACTAGTGAACGTTGAAGCTGAAATCCTCAAACTCAAGCGGAGAGATAAAAGTATCACACTGTTACTCAAATCCCGTTGCTACATCCTGACAGAACATCCGTAACCAACACAACAAGATGCTATAATTTTTGGAAAATGTAGTTCAAGAGCATCGACGGTGCGTAGAAGACAATGTGAATTTCGACCAGAGCCAGGAGTGTAGGCGTCGCCTGTCACGAAGGAAAGAAATGGGACGAGAAACCTTTCCACTAATGGGTAGAGGCAACAACCTGCATGAGAGCGGCTGCATTAGCTAATTGCAATCACCGACGGAGGAACAGCTACATCCGCCAATTAGAAACTCAAAAATCCACTGAAAGCTGGCTGTCGTCTATTTATTTGCAACGCGCACTACTGCACCAGCGATGCGTGCAACGTGGTCTAAGAAGATGTGGCTGAGTCGAGAAACTATGCCTATACATCATTTTACCGTAAGTATCCCGACTACATAGACGATTATCCAAAGTGTGACCCTGCTGATTGAGAAGGACAATACATACCTTGCAGATGGTGAGGGGTGAGGTGTGGCGGGACTTGACATGGAACGAGGCTCCAGCCACGCGTGCGCTTAAACCAGCCTTGGAAGAAAAGAGCTCGGAGTTCACGAAAGTAGCACTAGCGACAGGTCTAGCGGTGCCATGGTTGCGAGTTGGTTGGGAGGTGTTTGCAGCGCCAGCGGCAGCGATTGCCAATGAGCAGGAAGCTGAAGTCGCCATATCTGCGATCAGTTTTCTGCTGCCGCTACTCAAACTCAAATTTCAATCCTCAACAATTGAATTGCAAGAGACCGTGCACAATTCGGCACTTGAGCCTCATCCAGCGCGTCACGGGAATGAAGAAAGAGTTGCTGAGAGATGGCAGTATAGATTACGGATGACGTCGCTCGCAACCTCGCTGGCCAATATGTGTACGAGGATGGGCCACAATAGGTCACATCTGACCGTCCGACTTTCCACCAATCTGCCGACTCCTTGTAACTTGGGCAGGGGGGACGGAGGCCACTGAATGTTGTTGGAAGGTGTTCTCGCAGGTATCCTGTTGTACGCCCAGGAGGTCCTGGGCTCAGCATCAGCATTACCAGCACCCTTCTCTTCATGAGCGTGGTCTTATTTCGGGTTGAATCTGCCCCAACCATTGTTGTTTTTTTCATTTTTGGTTCACTTATATCATTTTCTGATATTTCCTTATGTCATATATATATATATATATATATACACACACACTAGTTGAACTTGTGCCTTTGTCATGGAAAATATGTTGTTTTTGATGGAAACATCAAAACACCTTTTTTGAGGTAGAAGTGAATCATATGTGTTGTTAAGGCCTTGTACATCACTGCATAACTCAACCATTGCTTCATTTTTGCTTCACTTTTGATGAAAACAATGATATGTAGCCAATTAGAGATGGTTTTTGTCTCTTTTAGTTTATCCCATTGGTTTATCCCCCTTGAGTTGTTCTATTTAAGATATGTATATGTATATATATATATACATATATATATATATATATATATCTGTGTGTGTGTGTGTGTAAAACATCATAACTTTTTTCAATATTAACCTAAAGTCTTAATGCTTTTGCAAAATTGACATTTCTAGTACCAAGGGCTGTTTTTTTTTTTTAGTTGAACAATTAGATGTAAGGGTTTATGTATTCATGTAGAATATGCAAATGTTAAGCTTAGTTATTTTGTTGATTAGAGGAATATCACATCAATATAATTATTTGGATTACTAATGTACTAGATTAAGAAAAAAATAGATAAAAAATTTATTATTTATAATCTAGATTTTGAAACTTCTTCAAAATAAACTCTTTTGTCTAGACTTTGGTATTCTTGATACATATTCATCTATAGACTAATAGTTTAGAGCTTAGCTAAACTTCATTGCAAGTTTGATTGAGACTTTGTGATCATTTTCAAATGTTGCTAGATTATTATGTCTCTTCTTAAATCATAATTTTGCAATAATAGTTCAATGCAAATGTTACTAAAATTAATGGATTATAAGAAAAATCTACATTAAGAAGAATTTTTTGTAAACTATAATTTTAAGTCAGATTTTATATACTTCAACTTTAATCAAAACATAATAGATCAAGATACTTTAAAACAAAGTAGAGACATTATGTTGGACAAGTAATCCAAAATAGATTTTAATTCAATATAATAACAATAATAATAATAAAAAGTTTTTTTTAATATACTTTTATTATATATTAATTTTTCTTCTAATTAATTTTAGTAGCTAATCAATTTTTCTTTTGCAACTAATTATTGTCTTATCGTAACCTAATCTATTTCTAATATCCAAATTTCAGATATATCAAAATATTTTGACTTGCTTTAAATGTGTAAAGGTCAAATTCATTCTTCAACCTAGATTGCAAGATGGCTTTAATTAATAGTTACTTATAATTGGTGGTGTGAATTGAGAATAAAAAATATAAAAAAAAGAGAAAATAAAAAAGAATTGAGAAAAATGTAATCAAGCAATTACACATTACAAAACTAATTATAATTTTTTTAATGGATTTTCATCTAATAAAAAATAAAAAAATAAAAAATAAATTATGAAATAATCATTTTTTTATCTTTGAAATGACATAAAAAATATGTAAATTTAAGTTACTATGAGTAATTTATAATAAATGAAAGATAAAATATAAATAATAAAAATTAAATATATATGGTTTATTTTAAGAATAATTTTCTTCAAAGATCAAGAATTCAAGCCTCACCAAGTCTCACAAATACTATGTAAGGATATTTTAAAGAAGCTATGAAGCATTAGTCATATCCTCCTACCTACATTCAAGGTGTTACAATCTATATAAGACTTATATACCTCCCTTTGAATAAGGACTACACTAGTTGCTGGTCTTCCTAATATCTATTAGTAAACTACCTATTTTGTATTTTCAACTTTGTTATGGTATTTAAAAACATCCAATTAGCCTAAAAATCATATATGATCTTCAAATCTTGCTATAATTATTCATAATGGCTTTCTAAAGTGGTAAAATTTATTTTTACCAAAGTCTTAAAAATTATTCTAAATTTCTTCTAAAATATTCTAAATTAATTTTAAATATATTCTAAAAATATAATAAATATTTTTATAATACTGATATCAATTTAAAGCTACTTTTTTTTCTATCTTTATGATTTTTTAAAATATTAAAATCCACTTTATTCAACTAAAAATCTTATTTTCTATATAAATAATTAAAAAGATACAAGATTTTTTTTATACTTCTTCTATCTATTGATTAATATTTTTATTTTTTTATTTTTTTATTTTAAATAATACATATGAATAGAAAGCTAATATATATATTTATTTTAAAAACTAAATATTAATTTTTAAATCATTAGAATTAAAAATTTGGGTGAAGAAGATATTGGAGGTTGAAGTTGTTACGGACATAGTCCTTAGACCTTTCTAGAGACAAGTTTCTAGAACCTTCTAGAAAGAAGTCTCTAGAAACTTCCAGAAGATTCCTTGAATATTCTCTTAGAATATTCTTTAAAGATTCCCTAAAGATTCTTTGAAGATTCTCTAAAGATTTCCTTAGAAGGCTCTAGAAGATTCTTAGAATATTCTAGTAGATTCTAGGAAGTTACTTGAGAAGCTTCCTAGCTCTTGGGTAGTTGCTCGAGAAGCTTCATAGTTCTTGGGAAGCTTCTTGGTGCGCTTCCTTAGAACCATAGGCCAGTAGTATATATAGGAGTCGAGGCTGAAGAGTTCTTCAGTCTCGACAACGCATTTCTTGAAGCTCTAGCTCAATTCTCCTGGCGTTACTCTTGTACTCATCTGATAATCTAGTTCTTGTCATTTCTTCTTGAACTTCTTGTTTAGATTTCTTGTTTGTATTTTTGGTCCGTAACAGTTTATCGAGACTGCCTTTATCTTAATATCAGAGCTGAATCCTTCTTGTTTGAGAGCGGATTACCCCTCTTTTTGAAGGTATTCTAGCGCTTTAGGGGTTGCGGATTACCTTCCTCTAAACTGATATTTTCTCAATCACAATATGAGAGCTTAGTTCTTTGAGGCAGAGAGTGGACTACCCCTTTCCTTGGAGATACTTGAGCGTTCTAAGGGTTGCGGATTACCCTCTCTTGGACTGATATCAATTCCTTCTTTTTGTTTAGCATAGCTAGTAGAAAAGACTGTTAACATCGATTTTAGAGCTTTGCCTTCTTGATAGAGTGCGGATTACCCCTCTTCTCGAAAGCATTGAGGCATTTTTAGAGGTTGCGGATTACCCTCCTCTAAAACTGAAATTGTTTAGTGTTTTTTTTCTTTTATCTTCTCCGAGTAGATTTTAGTGACAAGTAGTGCTACAATTTTTTCCAAGAGACTTAGCAATTTCTTCTTCTCTCAAAATTTTAATCCATCTATTTTCTAAATATGGAAGTAGACCAGGTCATAGACAGTGCATCTCCACAAGTAGACAATAGAGTGGCAACTCTTACAAATCTTCAAGCTCTTATGAATAGTGTACGAAAGGAGATTGCATTTCTTTGCAATCTAAGTAAAGAACCTCAAATTGATCTAGTGACCGAAGAAGCTAGACGCGAAATTCATAGCCTACAACAAGAAATTATTCGACTGAGAGAAGCAAGACATGTGTCACATACGACCCCTATAGATACTTCAAGGATTAGTACGAAAGAACCAAAAGCGAGTATGCCAGATAAGTTTGATGGAACAAGAGCCAACTTCTGAAGTTTTGTGCAACAAGTACGGCTTTACCTACGCCTATACCCTTCTCGTTATCCGAATGGATTTACCCAGGTTGCTTTCATAGGTACTCTTCTATCAAGAAATGCTCGCTCTTGGCTTGCTCCACTATTGGAGAAGGATTCTCCAATATTGTACGACCTAGAGGCTTTCATAGAGAGACTTACTGCTGAGTTTGGAGATAGCGATCGAGAAAGAGTGGCTGAAAGAAAGATACAAAATCTGCGACAAGGATCACGTTCTGCTGCAATCTATGCTGCAGAATTTCAACAGCTTACATGTGATCTTGATTAGAATGATAAGGCATTCATGACACGATTTCGATATGGACTGAGAGATGATGTCAAGAACTTATTGATCACCATGCCTAACGCGGATACTTTAGAAGAACTTATATCTCAAGCAATTATTTGTGACAACCGCCTCTTTGAGTTACGACAAGAAAGACGATCAGGCTGGAGAAACGATGGAGCATTTGTTACATTTTCAAAAGGTCCAGAGAATCACTCCACAGATCCTGAACCCATGCAAATTGATGCAGTACGTTTCAAACCCCTCACAACTGAGGAAAGGAAGCGACGGTTTGAACAAAACTTGTGTTTATATTGCGGAGAAGTGGGCCATAAAGCTGTAGATTGTCGGAAGAAACAGAAGCCTCAAACAACAAGACTCAGGAGTACAAGCATGCAGGAAAACAAGGACGCCCAGCCACAATAGGGACCGTGCGACTGGACATCTCAACATCCAAAATTAATCAAGGTCCCTTTCTCTCAGCTCAACCTTCAGATTGTTTTATGGTACCTTTACATCTGAGTATTCAAGAACTACAAGTCGATGCTTTATTAGACTCAGGTGCATCCGCTTGCTTTATAGATGAAGAGTTTGCCAAGCTTCACAATATTTCTCTTGTAAAGAAACTTAAGCCTGTCCATGTAGAAGTCATAGACGGACGACCATTGTCTTTGGGCAATGTTATCCATGAAACTAAACCATTGAAGCTACGTCTTGAAAACCATGAGAGCAATATTGTGTTTAATGTTATCAAGACCCCTTCATGTCCTATCATTTTGGGACTATCTTGGCTTGATAGATATAATCCATTGATAGATTGAAAGTTGCGGAAAGTGACATTTCCAACAAACTCCTTGAAGGTGGAATCTGCCAAGACAATATCTAGAAACAAATCCTTGTTTATAGGTGCAAGGGCTTTCATGAAGGAAGCCAAGCAAAATACACCTCTTGTCATCTTCGCAACTCCGACTCGAGAAGATGCAACTCCGACTTTGGTTATTCCAAAGCAGTATGAAGAATTCAAAGATGTCT